ATATATATATATATATATATATATATATATATATATATGAAAAAAGCTAACAAACACGTGGCAGCTATAACGTGCAGTAATATAGGTGGAATCCCAGCCATCAGATTTTCATTAAGTGGCTCAAAATCCATATCACTATCTGAATTTTAATTTTTTTCTATAAATCAAATCGTGATGAAATTTTTGGTGTGTGTGTGTGTGTATGTGTATGCATACGTGCGTGCATGCGTGTGTGTGTGTGTATAGGCAGTGATCTAACGCAATGGTTGTATCATAGTACAATGCAACCATACTTCTAAAAAACCATGTTTGTGGTATTTGTATGACCCAAAATTTTGTACACACTCTCTTCATCTCAATAATCAATCCCAAACAAAAAAAGTTCAATTTGAACCCTAGATATGGTCAAAATGAGTCCCCTTCAACAACGAATGTAAGTCATTCATCTGGTGAATTTCAAGATCTTAGCCTTTACAAACTCAAAATCATTTTTTCCTTTTTTAACAATGTTCATGTAATGATAATCTGAAAAAATTGGAAAAGAAAAAATCCCTCTAAGGCCTATATCTAAGCATCTTATCAAAATGGACGGCCTATGTTAATTGGGCTAAAAAAATACTTTCTAGTGGTGTTTTCAAATTTTTCTTTTTGGTGATTGTTCATTAGAATGAAAAGAGTGTATATTCTAATATTTGAATCAAACAAATGGCTCTAACTTTTGAAGATTGTTGCATTACATTACTATATAACTGTTGCATGAAAACAAAAAAAACAATAAAAAACGAAAAAAATAAATAAATTAATTAATTAATTAAAAAAAATAAAATAAAAAATATATATATATATATATAGAAAAAGCAGGCATAGGCCGACTAGCCTACAGCTACAAAGGAGCCCAACAGCCCAAATTCAATCTGGGATGATCTGACATTCACAACCTCAATTCGTATTTTAATTTTAATTTTTTTCGATAAATATAAATCTAAATGTCTATTCTTCTCATCAAAGCACATCTAATAAAACTATTAAAAAATATAGCTCGCAAAATATAAATTGATCAAAATACCCCTGAAATGTTTTGGGGGTATTTTGGTCAATATAGTTTTTGCACATTAGTTTTTTGATATTTTTATTAGATTATCCTATTTTTAAAGAACACATGCTCAAAATTTCAAGTGATTTAGATTTATAGAAAAAAATAAAATTCAAATACCAAATGCAATCATGATCATTGAATCGGCCCAGACACATATGTAGCTGTAGGCTAGTGGGCCTATGCCAGTTTTTGCCTATATATATATATGATCCAATGCAACGGTTGTATCATAATATAATGCAACGACATTTCTAGAAAACCATGTTTGTGGCATTTGTATGACCTCAAAATTTGCGCACACTCTCTCATCTCAATAATCAAATCTCCCTAAAAATAAAGTTCAATTTGAACCTTAGATATAGTCAAAATGAGTCCCCCTCCAAAAACGAATCTAGAACATTCATTTTGTGAATTTCAAGATCTTAGCATTTATAAACTCAAAACATTTTTTTCTTTTTTAATATTGTTCATCTAATGATAATAAAGCCATTCCAATGAAAAAATCCTTCTAAGGCCTAATCTAAGCATCTCACCAAAATGAACGGTCTATGTTAATTGGGCTAAAAAAATACTTTTTAGGTTGTGTTTTCAATTTTTTTTTTTTTGTGATTGTTCAATAGAATGAAAAGAGTATATATTTCAAATTTTGGATCAAACAAATGGCCATAAGATGGTTTTTTAAGGTTGTTGCATCATATTACTATACAACGGATGCATGAAATCATTGCTCATATATATGTAGATATATATATGTAAAACACTACGTAACGCCTATAGACGAAAATGAACAGTGATTTCGCCTACCCCCATCACCATCCAAAGTTTATAGCGCGGTCACGATTGTTCGGTAGTGTTTCATTTTTTATTTTTTTTCTACAAATCGGAATGACCTGAAATTTGGTCCGTGTATTCATAAAAAATAGGGGAATCTTCCAAAAATATAAAAATATATATTGTACATGAAACAATTTGACCAAAATACCCCCGAAACTTTTTGGGGGTATTTTGATCAAATTCTTTTTCACGGATAATTTTTTTATATTTTTATTAGATGCGCCTCAGTAAGATGTACATACCCTCAAAATTTCAAGTCATTCCGATTTATAAAAAAAATAAAAAATAAAACACTACCGGACAATCGTGAACGTGTGATGAAACTTGGACGGTGATGAGGGTAGGCCAAATCACTATTCATTTTCGCCTATAGGCGTTAGGAAAACTTTTCATATATAT